CTTTTTATTATATAGACAGGAGATAAGAAGATTAAGACTCAGAATGGCAAATAATTTTTCCCAAGGTCACACAGCAAAAAGGTAGGAGAATAGGACTTGAATCAACATTTTTTTTTTTAATTCTCAAGTTAGTTAACATACAGCATAGTCTTGGCTTCAGGATTAGAACCGAGGGATTCATCACTTACATAAAACACCCAGTGCTCGTCCCAACAAGTGTCCTCCTTAATGTCCATCACCCATTCTCCCCACCCCCATCACCCTCAGTTTGTTCTCTGTATTTAAGAGTCTCTTATGATTTGCCTCCCTCTCTGTTTTTATCCCATTTTCCCTTCTCTTCCCCTATGATCATCTGTTACATTTCTCAAATTCTGTATATGAGTGAAATCATGTAATATCTGTCTTTCTCTGGCTGACTTATATTGCTTCACATTTTTTTAAAAAGCTTTCAGTCTAGTGCTTTTCATGTTATTCTAGGCTCATGAGTGTATGCATGTGCAAGTGTGTTTGCATCAAAACAAATCACGGGTTTCCTTGGATACTCTCTAGTTGCCAATGAGACTTCCAGGTTTTAGAATAAGGTAAAGCAGGGGTGTCTGGGTGGCTCAGTCGGTTAAGTGTCCAACTTCGGCTCAGGTCATGATCCTGCTGTTTGTGGTTCGAGCCCTACGTCGGGCTCTGTGCTGACAGCTCAGAGCCTAGAGCCTGCTTCAGATTCTGTGTCTCCCTCTCTCTCTGACCCTCCCCCACCCTCACTCTGTCTCTCTATCTCTCTCAAAAATAAATAAACATTAAAAAACTTAGAATAATGTAAAGCAGAAAGAACTACTCCTAGAAAAGGAGATATAAACGAACAACTCAGGAAACAGATGCTGGTGAGGATGTGGAGAAACGGGAACCCTCTTGCACTGTTAATGGGAATGAAAACTGGTGCAGCTGCACTGGAAAACAGTGGGGAGGTTCCTCAAAAAATTAAAAATAGAACTGCCCTATGACCCAGCAATAGCTACTAGAAATTTATCCAAGGGATACAGGAGGGCTGATTCATAGGGGCACATGTACCCCAATGTTTATAGCAGCACTTTCAACAATAGCCAAATTATGGAAAGAGCCTAAATGTCCATCAACTGATGAATGGATAAAGAAGATGTGGTTTACATATACAATGGAATATTACTTGGCAATGAGAAAGAATTAAACCCTGCTATTTTCAGCAATGTGGATGGAACTGGAAGGTATTATGCTGAGTGTAATAAGTCAGTCAGAGCAGGACAGATATCATATGTTTTCACTCATATGTGGATCTTGAGAAACTGAACAGAAGACCATGGGGGAAGGGAAAGGGAAAAAATAGATACAGAGAGGGAGGGAGGCAAACCACAAGAGACTCTTAAATACAGAGGACAAACTAAGGGTGGATAGGGAGTGGGGGAGAGGGAAAATAGGTGATGGGAATTGAGAAGGGCACTTGTTGGGATGAGCACCGGGTGTTGTATGTAAGCCAATTTGACAATAAATTATATTCATAAAAAATAAATGAATTTTTAAAAAGGAGATATAGGTTCTAATGCCACCTCTCCTGTCAAACAGCTGTACAGACTTTCACTATCTCTCTCTTTGGCTTTAGTTTTATCATTTATAATGGGAAAAGGCTAGCCTAAATGGTTTCTACTTCTATTATTTTAAGTATATGCTCAGAGTTTTCTGGACATCCATGCAGCATTTAAAATAGCACAGGTCCAGGGGCACCTGGATGACTCAGTTGGTTAAGCATCTGACTCTTGATTTCAGGTTCAGGTCATGATCTCTTGGTTGTGAAATTGAGCCCCACATGGGTTCAGTGCTGGGTGTGGAGCTTGCTTGGGATTTTCTCTTCCCACCCTTCTCTCTGCCCCTTCCCCCCTCTCTCTCAAAAAATAAAAATAAAATGAAATAAAATCTTTAAAATAGCACAGATCCAATGATCTTGGAATTAGGGCAAGTTTATAGTAAATATGTTATAAGTCTTTATTGAGCCAGTCAAATATTTACTGTGTACCTATAAAGTGTCAACACTGCAACAGATGAGAAGAAAAATGTGATGAAAGCAGAAAACACATTTCTTTTCCTACAAGTTCATCTTTCTGGGTTTTCTTTATCATACCCTACAAAGTCATCTGAACTGAAAATACCCTCTGCACCTCAGTTATATAATTTATTTGGGAGTTACCACATTAGAGCTTCATTCTACTTTATCTTGGTATGTGGCTTTAACCTTGTTAAAAGGCAAGCAGACCTTCGGCGGGGGAGGGGGGGGCGTGAAGAAGTCTCTTTACAGTGATTTTCAGAATTCAGATTCCACATATCCAGTCTTGTCTAATCAGTCAGGATGGGGAAAGGATCATATCTGTTGCAGCTATGCCTACAATATGGTCCTGTGGATTGCTCAGACCCTTTCTCAAGTTCTTTTACAGCATTCAGGAAAGAGAAGCAGCTGTGCAGTCAAAGAACTGGTGATTTAAAGCTTGGTTTGGTCACTTAAGTGCTTTAGCTGTTATAACCTCAATGAGATTCTGGTCTGTAACATGTGCCTTTCCAAATTATTGTAGATTGAACTCATTCAGCAAATATTATTTTAGGTTTACTATGTGCCAGGAACTATACAGGGCACTGAGCTTATAATGTCTTCCCAGACTTTATAGTTAAGGCTGTAGACAGAACAAGCCAGCAAACAAAAGGAAGCACACAGTGTGATGAATTAAGTCAATATAGTGCTGAAAATTATTGGCAATAACACCAGCAAAGGGTATATGGTTAATGTAGCCATTGTTGTGTACAAGCATGTGCACCTGGCTTTAAGCAGCATGTGCAGTGGAGAACAAACTCTAGATTAGGGATGGAGAGACTGGGATTCAAATCCTTACAGGGCTGATTATTTGTCAAGCAATAGGAATTATTTCTTTTTCTCTCCAATACTTGATGTAACTTACTTCTTTTAATCCTCACGATCTGTGAAGTGGTCAGTACTATCATTGTCTTGGTTTTGCGGTTGAGGGAAATGAAAAGAGATTTAAGAGTGTTGGCTTGCCCAAGACCGCACAGCCTGCAGGTGGGTATACGGGGTTAGAGACGGACTCTGGCTGACATCAGAGCCCTGCTTAATACCCACAGATAAGGTAGCAGATGTAGGACTGCTGTGTCATTTCAAAAGTGCTATCAAAGTAGTGGTGGTGGCTCTCAGACCATGCAAACTATTATATATATATCATATATGTCCATATAAAATATGATGTGTAATATATTCATATAAAATATGATGTGTAATATATTCATCTAATACACATTATATGTACTTTTTATTATAGAGACATTTAACACATGTCATATACTCTACTTCTGTATCTTTATCTCCAGGTAATTCAGGTCAAGATAAGCAGGTTATTGATGTAGTAATCATACAAAATGATTGATAATTCACTTTTATCACACACTAAAAGTGTAATCGATGTATACTATAGACTCCTGGGTTGAAATGGGGGAGAATCATGGTGTAACTTATTAACACATTCTTTTGATGTGACTGTGAATGTGAGAAAAAAGGGGGCAAGGAATAGGTGGCCATTTATGGGCTTTCTCCCCACTGCACTGCACAATGAATGGTGCTGTTACATCCTAGGGGTGCAAGCACTTCTAAACTTACCCATCTTCACTCAAATCAGTAATAACTTTCCTCCCAGCTCTCAAAACAACTGTCTGGTCTCCCTTCTCAGTTCCTTTTCACTCCTATCCAGCTTCCACACCTGCTTCCACACAGCAACACTGCTCTGTTATATTGTTAAACACATATTTGACAACTAGTTCCCTGTTTACAAAGAAATAATTAAAATTTTAAAAACAGACAAAAACAAAACTTTCATATTTTCCCTCTTGCCCATGGGAGAAAGGTCAAACCCCTTAGCATGGTATTTACCCAGAAAATATTTATTGAGCACCCACTATGTGCCAGGTACAGCTGTAGGTGCTAGGGATACTTCAATGAACAAAAAACACAAAAATTCCTACAAATCCTGGTTTTCCTAAGCTTACAATCTAAGGGAGACAGACAATCAGTGTCAACAACCAATCGATTCTATGCAATGGGAGAAGGTGATGCATCCTATCAAAAGAACAGAGCAGGGTACAGTGGAACAAAAGTTCAGAAATGGAAAGAAGGTTGAAATTAAATAGGAGCATGCAATACATATTTGCAATTATATATACAGCATATGCAATTATATACCTAGCATATGCAGTTGTATACACATATATTTATGAAACAAATGTTTTGCCATCTTTGCTTTGAGTTTCAAAGATCTTTCACAATTTTCCCACCTCTCACTGTCTCTCAAAACTAGACTCCTGTTATCCTCTCTTAACCCTGTTCACGCTGCACTCCTGCCATGCTGACATTTTTAAAGTATCCCGAGTACTATGCTCTCCTCTGCTTTTGCAAATGCTTTTCCTGAACCAACTGTCACCCAACCCCCTCACACACCAGATTTTCATCCTGGTAACCCCATACTCACTGTTGGAACCCTCATGTGTTGCAACACATCTCTCAGAAGCTTCCACCTGCTATGCCCAACATCCAGGACACTATACAATACTTCTCTTGGGCACACCTATCACATTGTGTTGTGGTTTATCTGCTTTCTGTTTGTCCCATGTATTATGTTGAACATTTTGAACCTGATAATAATGTTTTATTATTTTTTACATCATCTACAGTTAGGTCTATCAAACCTGGTGCAACATTTGTGATCAGTTGATAATATTTGTACAGAATGAACACTGGCAATTCAGTGTTGAACTTTTATTTTTAACTCCTTTCTTTAATCTCTAAAGGGGATGCCAGTGTTTTACACCTCTATGTGCTTCATTCCACTGATTAAAGGAGAAAAAACACCTTGACCTCATAAAATCTGGTCAGAACAAACTATGATGATAAGAAACACAGAATTGCCTCTCTAGGTATTTCAATTTCTGACATATTTATTTTATTAAAAAAAAGAAAAAATCTTTTTTCTGAGTGGCCCAAGAATCCAACCACAATGCTTGGAAACAAGTGGGAAAAAAGGAATATTTGGTGCAAGTTGTATTAATAACTTCCTTCAGTAAAGTGGCGACATTGACAATGAAGGTGGTGATCCAGATAATGCAAAATTGCCAGTCTAGTCTGGGCCTGTCAGTTTTGCATGAACAGTGCATCAGATTAGGATGATAATGATCTCCACAAAAGACCCAGTACATGCTGTAAAGGGGGATTTGATGTTGGAAAGAGGTAGAACACCTACTTTCCAGCGTCTCTTGTGACTCAGGGAGTCTATGATTCCGTGACAGAACAAAGTGGTTTCTTCATCTGGATTTTCACTCCCCAGGAATCTCATTTTGGGGCCTGCGGGCAGCAAAGAGAAGATACATGGCCGTGGGAAGGAACATCAACATAACAACCGACTTCATCCTTTTGGGATTTTCAGAGCAGCCAGAGCTTCAGGCTTTCCTCTTTGTGTTGTTTCTGGGGATCTATTCTGTGACTCTGACTTGGAACCTGGGCCTTGTTGTCTTGATCAGGATGGAGTCATGCCTGCACTCCCCCATGTATTTCTTCCTTGGAAACTTGTCCTTTGTTGACATCTCATACACGTCCTCCATCACCCCCAAGATGCTCTGTGACTTCTTCAAGCAGCAGAAGACCATCTCCTTTGTGGGATGTGCTACTCAGTTTTTCTTCTTCATCAGCATGGGGGCCACTGAATGCTGTCTCCTGGCGGCCATGGCATATGACCGCTATGCTGCTATTTCCACCCCTCTGTTCTACGCAGCCTTCATGTCACCCACCATGTGTGTGGGGATGGTCATTACAGCATACACTGGAGGGTTCCTCACGGGATTGGTCCAAACCAGCTCCATATTCCAGCTGTATTTCTGTGGGCCACGAGTCATTAAACACTTTTTCTGTGACCTGCCACCTCTGCTAGTCTTGTCTTGTTCTAGTACCTTCCTCAGCCAGGTAGTGAACTTTCTTGTTGTGTGTGCAGTTGGTGGGACATCAGCTCTTGTTGTCCTGGTGTCCTATTGCTACATCATTGCTGCTGTCATGAAGATCCATTCAACCCAAGGGCGGTTGAAGGCTTTCAACACCTGTGCCTCTCATCTGACCACAGTGATTCTCTTCTATGGCTCTGGTCTCTTCTCATATCTCCATTCTAGTGCTGGCTACTTACAGGACCAAGAGAAGGTGGTGTCCATGCTCTATGGAGCTGTGATTCCCATGCTGAATCCCATCATATACAGTTTGCGAAACAAGGAGATCAAAGATGCATTGAAAAAACTCAAGAACCAGAAGAAGCAGATGTTCCCTCTGTGTCTTATGGTTCTCTAAGTTAAAAAAAACTTAAATTGGGGCACCTGGGTGGCTCAGTTGGTTAAGCATCCAACTCTTGGTTTCAGCTCAGGTCATGATCTCACAATCATGTGAGTACAAGCCCCACATTTGGCTCTGTCAGCACAGAGCCTGCTTGGGATTCTCTCTCTCTCTCTCTCTCTCTCTCTCTGTTTCTCCCCCACTCAAGCTCACTCTTTCTCTCTCTCAAAAATAAATAAATAGACTTAAAACAAGTTTGCTAAAAAAAATCAAGTTTTGCTATATGTAAATAGGCATTATAATAAATGGGTCACAGAATGTAAGTAATAAATTAAAGAAGTTATGTCAAGCAAGATCCCCAACCTACATGTCTGTTGCACAATTAGGCTCAACAAGGGTTTTTCTTCCCTTTACCTTTCTTGTCATGGACTGATATGGTTTCAATTTAGGTCACTTGCAATAGAAAATAAATATGCTTTTTGATGACATTCTTTAGCTTTATGACATCAGATGCCGGGTCCAGAATGCCATACCTTAGAGCTGGTTAGATCATAATTCCAGGACCACAAGCATCCACCACAGACCTCTTTACAATATAACACTGCTCATACCAATCCATTCATTACTTGGGACAAATTTTCTGTTCCCCTTGCCCTTGATTTGTACCTATCCAATGGTTGATACTGAACAGGAAGTCTGACTCTGGTTTAGGAACCTGAGAGCCCTAAATAGTTGTGTCCATCAATGACTGTTCAGAGCCAAGAGAAAATAGGATACCTATAAACTATGTCTGAGATGAGCCAGTGGTCACATGTGTGGGGTCATGAAGTCCACTGGGCCAGAAATAGGAGCCCAAATCAGCAGATCCAAAGTTGGGAAGTCACAGTAAGCAAAAACCAAACATAAGTTTAGGTGAGAAATTCTAAAGGAGAGTAGGTTCCCATATGCTTCATTTTCATGACTGAAGCCTCCTAGTGACTGAGTGGGACCACTTGGTTTAAGGAACAGGATCAGGGAAGAGAGACTTCCCCTGGAAATTCTAATTCTGCATCTGTTCCCTGGACAGTTCTCACTCTTGGCCCTGTATGGATATTTCCTCTCTGTCCTCACCCCATCCCCAACTTACTTTCGCTTTGTGTTCTAGAGTTTGTATATTGTCTCCCATCTCTCTGGAATTTGACCACAGCCTGTCGCACAGATCTGACATCCTTGCTTTCATTTTTATGCATTATCTCAGAAGGAACCCCACTCCAGGACATGAGATAGGACAGCCAAGTCAGTGAGTTTGCAGCAGAAATAAATGTGGATTTTAAATGGCCTGTGATCCTATTTTACAAGATGGTTCTTGAGCAAAAGACAAAGATTTCTGAAGTCCCGCTTCTTTAATGGTTGTGGATATAAGTCATGGTGAATAATGACAGCCATCCCTAAGCCATATCAACTTTGGCTATAACTAGTTTGCCTTTCTTTCTTTCTTTCTTTCTTTCTTTCTTTCTTCCTTTCTTTCTTTCTTTCTTCCTTTCTTTCTTTCTTTTGTTTAATGTTTATTATTTTTGAGAGACAGAGACAGAGACAGACAGCAAGCAGGGGAGGGGCAGAGAGAGAGGGAGACACAGAATTGGAAGCAGGCTCCAGGCTCTGAGCTGTCAGCACAGAGCCCAACGTGGGGCTCAAACTCCCAGACCGCGAGATTGTGACCTGAGCTGAAGTTGACTATTTAACCAGGCACCCCAAAGCTGGCTTTGCTTCACTCCTTCTTTCAATTCATGCTGCTATTTGATCTATTCTCTGACCACTTGGATTATTTGTTAAGGGTTCCTTGATCTGATCTTTGACTCCTCCAAACCAGGTTAAGAGTTACTGCAATGTGTTCCCATAGCATTCTCTATTTCATCTATCAGCACCTATGACACTTTATTACTTTTCGTTGTTTAGTTATATGTCTTCTCCCTGAGTTGTTAACATTCTGTCTAAACTGCTCTCCTTGGAAACGTAAGACACAACTGGGGAAAATTATGTGCTTAATACATATTCATTTAATGAATGAATAAAATTCAAATGCACTTGGCAGATAATTTTGAGATTTTATGCCAATGGAAGGGAATTAACACTTATCGGATGCTTATTATATGCCAGGCATTGTGCCCAGCAGTTTTTTAAAATTCTGTTTCAGTTCTATAGCTTACACACAGATTCCTTGCTGAAAAAAAAAAAAAAAAAGGAAAGAAAACACTATGGGTAAGAAAATGCCTCCTTTGACCATAATTCTCAGTTTCAATTCCTTCCTGCTCCCCCCAAGAGGTAATGACTGTTTATGTTGGTATGTAAATTGGCAGTTTTTCTGTCTATGTGTTAACATTCATATATGTACCCCTATGTAATACTGCTTTATGTGGCTCTGTGTGTATTTACATAAACGGTATTGTACTGAATGATCCTTCCATACCCTGCTTGCTTTTTCATTCAACATGATTTCTTGGAGCTCTTTCCATGCTATACATATAACTCTACCTCAGTCTTAAATTATTTCATAGAATTGTCACACCAAAATTTATGTACTTATTGTGCATTGATGGGCATTTAGGTGGTTTCCAGTTTTTGCTAGTTTATTACTAACAGTGTTGCAATATATGAGCTGTATATACCTCTTCGTGCTAATACCCAATTTTTCTGGTAGAAACAGAGAAGTTGAATTGCTATTAATAGGGTTTGTGCATATATATGTTATACATACACACATACTATATATATATATATATATATATACATATATATATAATTTAAATTCAAATTAGTTAACATACGATGTAGTATTGGTTTCAAGGGTAGAACCCATTGATTAATCTCTTACATATGACACCCAGTGCTCATCCCCAAAAGTGCCCTCCATCACCCATTTAGCCCCATCAACCTCCATTCCATCCACCTCTCCACCAGCAACCCTCAGTTCGTTCTCTGTATTTAAGAATCTCTTATGGTTTGCCTCCTTTTTGGTTTTTGTCTTATTTTTCCTTCCCTTTCCCTATGTTCATCTGTTTTGTTTGTTAAATTCCACATATAAGTGAAATCACATGGTATTTGTCTTTCTTTGACTGACTTCTTTCACTTAGCATAATACACTCTAGTTCCATCCACATTATTGCAAATGGCAAGATTTCATTCTTTTGATCTCCCAGTAATATTCCATTATATATATATACACACACACACACACACACACACACACACACACACATACACACACACACACACACACACACACACACACACACATCTTCTTTGTCCATTCATTGGTCGATGAACATTTGGACTCTTTCCGTAATTGGGCTATTGTTGATGGCGCTGCTATAAACATCAGGGTGCATGTGCCCCTTTGAATCAGCATTTTTATATCCTTTGGATAAGTACCTAGTAGCGTATGGCTCCTTTTTAATATAGAAGGGTTTGTATATTTTTAACTTTTATTTTTTTTTTAACGTTTATTTATTTTTTTGGGACAGAGAGAGACAGAGCATGAACGGGGGAGGGGCAGAGAGAGAGGGAGACACAGAATCAGAAACAGGCTCCAGGCTCTGAGCCATCAGCCCAGAGCCCGACGCGGGGCTCGAACTCACGGACCGCGAGATCGTGACCTGGCTGAAGTCGGACGCTTAACCGACTGCGCCACCCAGGCGCCCCTGTATATTTTTAACTTTTAATAGACACTGCCAAATTCTCTCTAAAGTGGCTGTGATGCTCCTGCCAACAACCTCCTAGGGCATCTATCTCTTCATACCCTTGATGAAAGATGATATTAACAAAACTTAATTTTTTTCCTACCTGATAACCTCTTTATATGTATTCTGTTAATCCTTAAAATGATCCTACTGGATAAGATTGTTTATTGTTTTCATTCACATACAATATACTATATACTACCTAAAGACTCTTTATACACACTCTCAGCAGTTCTTACAACCACATATGAGATAGGGGTCTTAACCATTTTTATCCAGGAAATAAAATATGTAAGGCTCAGGAAGGAGGTCAAGTAACATACCCAAAGGCACACACTAACAAGTTAGGGAGATCCTAAGTACATATCTACATGACACTAAAGACCATTAATTGAAAATACACCTTCTCATATGTATGCTCGGCATTGCCCAGAAAACTAAAACAAATTCTGTCAAAAACTGACTGTTTTCTCAAGTCACACATAATTTAAGTGCAAAAGAAGAGGGGAGAACTGACTTCTGTTAAATAGTTAGGCCTAGTTTCAGTAAGATCATCACTTATGTTATATACCAGGAGTGACGACCTTCATTTAGAACAGCATTCTTCAAAAATGGATTTCTAGGTGGAACAGTTTTATAAAAGGAATTATCACACATGACCACGAAACAAGGGAGAAACTAAAATATTAAAACAAAAACAGAATGGAATTAATAATGAATTTGTAATGCCTTTCAAAGGTATAAGTAGTGATGAGGCTCCCTCCCAACTTAGAGCATTTGCATCTAGGTTCAGATAAAGAAATATTCAGCTGTGCTGTGGTCTCAGGGGAGGAAGAACAGTCTTGAGAGCAATATCAAGACATTGGGGTCAGGGGATGATAAAGGAGGAAGATTGATGTTTTAAAATCTAGCCCTGGATTAAGCCAGTTAAGAAGAGAGACAACATTGTATCACCACCCACAATGAATTGTTTATACTGGAGGGATCTAGAAGAAATAGACTAACAACCGCCTTCCTAGCAACAATTTTTCTGTATTCCCATCAACAGGGTGAACTGTATCACTGAACAAGGAAACATGAACTCTGGCTACCTTGGCTGCTAAGAAATTCTGAGCAAAATCTGTGACCCATGTGTAGGAAGAATTTAAGTCATCTGGCATGCACTTTTATTCTTATTCCTGGCTCTCCTCTGCATCCCAAACTTGTGTCTCTTACCATTCTTTATTACCATGCGTATTTTATATATCTTTGCAAACTGCTTGCTCAAATATTTGGGAGCAAAAGAGAATATAAAAATGTCCA